TTTTCTTATCTTCACTCATTTCACACTTTATGATGACACAACTTTGTTTATCATCTTCAATATCTTTATTCATATCTTCATTTCGTCCTATTTTTCTTTCAAGCTCATTAGCGTCTTTTGCTACCTTTATATTACTGATTTTATCTGCAATACAATTAGCAGATTTTTGATAATAATTGCATACCTTATATTCATCCATTTTTACTCTGATTCTATTTTTTACAACAAGACTCAAAACTACGTTGTCTCTTCGAATTGTCTTCTTCAACAAACTTCAAGCATCATTCGTATATCTTATATTTACTCTTATTGGACTTCTGGTGAGAATCAAATCTGTATTGCTCATCTGTTTTAATTTCTTTTCTATTTCGACAACCATAACTAAGGTTATTTGTTCTAATAATATAATCCATCTTTGCAGATTTTTGATGATTAATAGGTGTCTTAAGTTCATACTTTTCAACACCGATTTCATTTTGTTAACAACAAGAAGGGTTGTATGAATTGGGCACTGAAGCTTGGTCACTATCGGATGCTTTGTGCATATCTTTTTTAACTCGAGCTCCATTTTAGTCTCTATTCTCAAGATCATAGAAAGTCTGGGTTATAGTTATGACCCAAAACCCAAAACCTTTCCAAAACCTTCAAATTAGAATGTTAAAAATTAATACTCATTTACTATAAAATAACCAAAAAACTCTTGGAATGCAATCTAATTATTATATACTTTAAGTTTTAAAGTTTAAATCTAAATTTCTAAGCTTTTCAGTATAGTGTTCGAGTTTTGAAAAAGGTTTCGTGTTTCAGTTTCAGTTTTGAGAATTTATATATAGTTTTGGGTTTCGGGTTACAACTATAGTCTGGGTATTTCTCAATTTGTGACTATTTTTATAGTTCATAGAGCAGTGGTTGGTCGATTCTTTACAAGTGGGTAGCATAATTTTCTATTTGTTTTGCCAGGCTACTTATTACAGAAGATATAGTGGAGCTTAAAGAATATATCACATAGGGTATTTTGGGGCAGAGATTATTACTGATAAATTTGCAGGACAAGTCATTTGGTATATTGGTGATGGGGCTACTATATTGTTAGTTAGAACAGATCCACATATGGCTAATCCTTGTATTGTCATTGTTTCATATATTCAGACTTGTTTGATAGCTTTATATAATATGTTAGATATGAAGGATCTAATGGCTAATGATAATTCAGAACTGAGACTTTTCATGAATATTCGAACCCACGTTATTTCTGGATACTAGATTCCTATAGTTAATACTTGTTTAAACAGGTTCAACAAATTAACAGCGTACTATTCCACGGTCTCGTCTACCTAGAAATTCCCTTATAATATTAGATTTATTTTGGCAAACAGATTAAAAATTTTAAATTTAAACATATTAGTTTGTTTTTCTGCATTGCAAATATAAAATATACAGTCAATTCTCTTTATTCTGCAAAAAAATATACTTAAAAAATTTTATATTTAAAAATTTTTAAAAATTCAGTTCTCAAAGAGTTATATATTGCTAATCTGAATTTTATAATAAAATTTACAAATGTTCTTGAGTTTTTCTTTTAGTTTTCAAAGAATTTATTAAGTGTTTAGTTTAGAGAAAGTTGACTATATATTGTAAGATAGAATTTAATTATTCTCTAATACTAAAATCCTAAAAATTTTCAAATCTATTTAAATTCTGTTTCCAATTACAATATATAATATTAATATTAATATAAAAATTGATCTCTTTTATGTCTGTTCATGTTAAAGTTCTTTATAGATTCAAAGATGTTAAATTATTTATTATTTATATATTGGCTTAAAATTTATCTAATAAATCTAATAATAAAATAAATCAATAAGATACTATGACTATACTATAATAATTGAATTTTTACAATAGTATATTCTATTTTATATCAAAATAAATAATTATAGAGATTTTCTTATTTTATAACAACTCTTAAATTATTAAAATAATATATTAAAGGTCCAATATCAAATAAAAAAAATTTATTGATAGATTAAAAAAATTAATACTAACAAAATCTTTTTCAACTCATAAATAATGTTATTGTATATATTTTTTTTATTTTTTTGTCATTATATTAAATTTTTTTTAAAAACAAAGATAATATATTTAATAATTTATATGAAACATATGAATTAAAATTATTAGATATATATAAAATAAAAATTTTTATATATCTTAAAAGAAAAAAAGATGAGTAATCTCTAATATATTTTGTTTCACATATATGAGTTACTATATATTAATATTGAAAGATAAATAGATAATATATTGCAAAATAAATTAAAAAATAGTTATCCAATTATTTAATAATAGGTTTGATTGATATTCTATTATTATGGAAAGTTGTAAAATGCATAATTCAGATCAGATCTCTTCTAATAATTGACATAAATAATAATAATAACAATAAGTTTCTAGATAAAATGTAAGAATTGTTTATTAAACAAAACAGTTATTTGCAAAATTGTGGCATAAGATAAACCTTTTTGTATTATAACTTAATCTTAAGATTTTATTAATTTAACCAATTACATATTCAATTGGTTTGATGACATTTATTATACAAAAACTAATTTGTATATCTACTAGAAATAGTTGATGTTAATATTAACTTTAATATAATAAACATATACGGGTCATAGTCTAGAATTAACCACCACCACAGTTTGAAGCTTTCTTTTAAATAGGGTTTTTCTAATTTATTACCCATATGTACAACTAAATGAGTATCGCTAAAAAAAACCTGAAAATTTAAATATGAATTATTTAAATTTTCAAATACATTATTTTCTGTATTTAAATTTGGATATACCAAATATTGAAATCTTATTATAATCATTATAGTTTATATATCATTATAAATTAATAAATTTCAGATTATTTTTGAAATGGCTGAAAACAGTATCAAGTTGAAAAAATTAAGTCTTACACGTCATAATGTAATTGTATAATCGTACATTATAAATTGCATAAATTGGTGACTAAGAAGACGAATGCAAATTGTTGTTTCGTTCTTTAGAGATATTATTAAAAAGAATATTTATAAGACTTTATTATATTTTCCAAAGTTTGCAAACGGCACGTTTACAGTCACTGATAAAATTGTTGCAATTGGATGTTGTTATAGATATGGAACTGATGTTGTAAAGGATGACGCAAAGCGTTTGAATATTTCAAAAAATCTGCATATATGGGAGATATGAATAAAGATATTGAAGATGATAAACAAAGTTGTGTCATCATAAAGTGTGAAATGAGTGAAGATAAGAAAA